AAAAAAAAAAAAAAAAAAAAGAAGAATGGCAAATTTTTGGCAATAAATTAATGTTTAGAAAACGAGAAATTTCAAAAACTCAGCTGTTAAGTCACACTGTGGCGTTACCTAGCAACCCAAGCAGAACTCCACCCGTTACCTAGCAACCCAACCACTTGGGTTACCTAGCACCCAAGTGGTTGCTAGGTAACCACTTGGGTTGTTACCTAGCAACCCAAGTGGCGCTCCATTTCGTTTGGTCAGCTGGTTTTACTGCTGCTTGTGCTGTACAATGGCTGCTGGAAAAGACAACACTTAATGTTCAGAAACTACTTGCTGCATAATTGTTGGTTGTGATTCAGGCTCTACTAATGCTTTTCAAAGATGTATGGTTGTATAATTGTGCATCTGTTTGCAGCCATTTTCATGTACGAGTGTAAATGGTGAGTTGTGGGCGTGGCCAGCAGCAGCTTAATTGGACTTAAAAACAGATCATTCTGAATTCACCAAACTAAAATCTCATTATCTAAGAATGTTTTTTTTTTTTTTGCAAAAAATTAAATGAGTAAGTTTTGTATCACTCATAGATCTATCCTAACCTGTTTAAGGAAGCCTTACAGGTCGCCTCTAAGGTAAAATGCATTTGAAAAGTCCTGCTGCCCAGAAGGATTGAATCATTTCTGGGGAATCAAATTAAAATTCCCACCTAACATGTTGTTCTGTCTCCTCGGTGCGTCACTTGCAGGACTTGGAGGATTAATGCAGCAGGGGGCTGCAGGCTGGACGGCGCCTCAGCAGGCAACACTTACGACAACACGGCGAATCAGTCTGCGTGGCGTGAAAACCCACGCCGTCCAGGTCCAGCGGAGACGAGTGACTCGGATTTATGACGAATGTGTTGAATGTCAGAGGAGCTGAGTTGTTACTCTGCTGTTATTCTGAGCAGGACTCACACATGGAGGTGATAAACAGCATTTATGTAATAATGCTGTTGTGTTTGCAGATTTGTTTCTGTTCACTTTGTTCATGTTCCAATATCTGATTCACAGAGCAAAAAGCAACAATAATGTAATGGTGCAAATTCACCATGAAGGGCAGCAGGTTCTGATCGGGTTTGCTCAGTGGTGAGTCCTGAAGTGTCCCCTAATAATAAATATTAGTTCTAACGCTAATGTGCTAATCATAAATATTAACTCCACCAACACTGAAGCGTTGATCATAAACATTGGCTTTGCTTAGGCTAAAGGATTATATCAACATTCTGCTTAAAGCAAGCTAATGCTAAAGCGCTACATCAACAGGCTACTTAATGGAAGTTTATGACATATATATGCAACAAAAAGCATCTTTCTGCAACATTTCCGTCTCCTAACGACAAAACTAATCACCTGCAGAGAGAATCAGGTGGTTTCGGGAAAGCTGAGGTCAAAGTTACAGGAAGCTAAAGACCATTTTCTTTGCATTTCGGTATTTTCTTCGCACTCACAAATAAAAACAGCAACGAGACGCATTTTCAGGCGGAGCTAGTGAGTGAAGAGAAGCAGAATGAGCTGGTACTGACCGAATGAAGTGATCCACCAGCGCTCCGACCAGTTCTCCCACTCGGTCCTGGTTGGGGCAAAGCTCGCCTTGCTGCAGACACAGCAGGACGTCGTCCTGGGAGGACATGTGCAGCGCCACCATCTGGTCAGCCCCGCTGGTCACGCTCAGTCCTGTAAACTGTCAGAAACAAAACAAACTCATTGACAAAGGTTCGTAAAAACTGAAAAACGGTGAAACTTTGTCATGAATCACAAAAAACATATTTTTTTCTAATCAGGCATGAAAAACAGCTTTTTGTCTGCATCTGTTCAGTTTTTCCACAAAATTCTCACAAAATCAACAGATTCACTGAATTTTTCACTCCAATGCATAATTATGAGTTTAGTGGAAATTGTCTGGAAGAAATGGTCAAAAGCACCGAGTAACAGTGATGTTAACTCCGTCCTGCAGGTGGCAGTATTTCCTACTTCTACTCTGTTGCCTTGATGTCAAGTTATAGTCTGTGATAAATGTTCAATTGGACAGAAATTATCTCTGGTTCTGTGAAAATATCGCAAAATTCATTGAAAATATTCCTTAAGTACAAACAAAACAAAATCCTGAAGGAACTGAATAGTAGCTGACATACAGCGCCCTCTACAGGCATTCCTGGTGAACAACCAGGTATAAATGTGTCCTTCAAGTTTATCTGAGTATCCAGGAAACTTTACTGACTCTTTAGAGGCCAGTTTCTCTCAGCCACTATTTAATTTAGCAAAAATAAGAGAACTTATCCTTAGATTGAGAAATGTGAGCAGATTGTCACAATAAAAAAGCTGCTGCTGGTTTAATCACATCTACAGTTGGAGCAATAATTACAGACTAAACCAACTGGATAAAGAGCGTTAAAAACATGGTTTTCCTCCATTAAATCTGAAAAACAAATGTTATGATATTGAAGATTAGATTATTTAACTCCATCACTGCCAACATTGTGGAGGACGTCCCACATGCGGCCCCCGAACCGCACTTTGGGCACCGTTTCAAGGCGAAGTGGGACCAGATTCGGCCGGCGGTTCAGGTGTGGCAGAGCAGCGAGAAACTGTGACCCAGTTAGAGAAACGCACAGATTTACTGAAGGAGGAGAGAAAGTGGGAGCTGGTAGAGAACGAGACAGAGTGGATTATAATCCTCTTACAGATCACTCAGGTTAATCCAGACAGGACAACAATGAGCTGGATGTCCCCGAGACGTCCAGGCCGACCCGTTCCCTCAGCGCTTATTCAGCGCTTTCTAACCCATTTCCTCTCCAATCTGAAGCTCAGTTTAAATATCAGACAATAAATCTCACATTTCAGGTCCAGATTCTCCACAAACATTTTATGAGTTTTAAAGCCTTTTATGAACTGATCACCAGCAGAGCTGGACTCTTATCATCCAGGTGACTTAACGCAGCGCCAGGGTGGGAAGACAACAGCAACTGGTGCCACATGGGAAGGGTCAAAGGTCGTCTCAAAACAATTTAAAAAAGAAATTAAAAACAAAAAAACTTCTGAAGAAAATAAATTAGAATTAGAAGAAATGTAAAAAAAAAAAAGGAAAGAAATTAAAAACAAAAAATTAAAACAATGAAATGTTATTGGCAGCTGCCAACCTTCCCAGCAGATTCAGCACAACGTCAGAAACTCCACAGCTCCATCTGACCCTACAGGCCTCAGGCCAAAGGTTAAAGGTCAAGACCCAACCAGCATGGATGCTCGGTAGGGTGAAGGAGAAAGTCTCTTCTCTCTAGAAACAAGATGGCCGCTAAATTTGTACTAAACAGAGAATATCTTATCAATATAGTTTTTATTATTATTATAATATCAACTAAGTACGGTGGTGGAGGGGTGATGCTCTGGGATTGTTTTCTACAGCCACAGGATGAAAAGTTCAACATGATTCTTGGTGATTTACTTCCAGACTGAGTTGATGCTGCTGAGAAATAAACTGAAGACGACGACTTTCTTTAAATAAAACATTTCCAGTAAGGAACCAGAACCAGAACCAGAGACGGTTTCTGTCCAGGTTCAGGAACCAGAACCAGATAGGTTTCTGTCCAGGGTCAGGAACCAGAACCAGAGGCGGTTTCTGTCCAGGTTCAGGAACCAGAACCGGAACTAGAGGCGGTTTCTGTCCAGTTTCAGGAACCAGAACCAGAACCAGAGGCGGTTTCTGTCCAGGCTCTGCGTTTGTTCTGCCCTGATAATCTGCTGCCCGGCCTCAGCTGAGTGCGGAGCGGCTCTATCTTTAGCGGCTCTGCTGCAGCATAATGACGGTTTTTAACCTGCGGCTCAAACAGCTGTGTGTCGACTCATTAAGCCCGATGCAGGCGCTAGGTGTTAGCCTGTAGTGGAGTTAGCATTAGCCGAGATGCAAACCTTCATAATCACAGAACCAGAGAGAAAACCTTCAGATTTAAGCTTAAATTACAAATATTCCCTCAGTTTTCTGATATTAAAGTCAAACCAAACTTACAGCTTGTGTTCAATAATGGAGATTAAATTAGGAGCTCTGATATTCAGGTTTTCTTTCAGGGTTTTAAAAAACGACTTACTGTAGGCAAATTCTGTTTATTATTATTATTATTATTATTATTATTATTATTATTATTATTATTATTAACAAAAATGTGGAAAACAAACAAAAAATGGTCTTTAATGTGAAAATGTTTACTGCTTTTGATGGACGTATGTTTGACTGATGGTACTTTACCTCTGCTGTGAAATAAATTGTTCTGGCTTCTTTATTATTTTTTAAAGTGCTTTTCTTTCTGTAAGAATGTATATATTTCATGTCATTTATATATAATTGTTTTTCTTTTCTTTAAATAAAGAATAATGTGTAAAAAGGAAGACAGAGGGGTTCAAATGGTTTATATTTGATCTTATCTGTGGGGCGCTTCCTAAACAAAAATGTAATCAGTTTGTTTACTTTGTACAACTGAAGGTGTTGCACTAAAAGCCATATGAAAAGCAAATATAAAGCAAAGAGGCTAACATGTTAGAAAGCAAAATAAAAGGGAGACTCTAATGTAAAAGTATCTGAAGCCATTTTCAGATGAAATAAACTGGCCTTTCCTTTCAGAACCAGAAGTCCTGTGAGGCCTCTGGTCCAGTTTCTCAGATCAAGCCACAAACTGAACCAGTTTCTGAAAACTTTAAACTCAACCTGAGACACATCAGGCCCAAAAGAACCGCTCAGAAACTCTCCATAACCAACTAATCAGATCAATAATCAGATTAATGGACCTGGGTTTGTCAGTTTGGGTGTTCTGGTTGTTACTGGGCTGGTGTTGCAGGTGGTTTGGTTGCACAGGAAACGGAGTCTGACCCACATCGGTTCCCGTCTGATCTGGGTCTGCAGCTGCGGCCCGGAGAGGCTTTTATTTCTGCTCTCTGGACGTAAAAACGATTCAAGCTTGAAGCGAAGCTGGACAGCAGCGGGAAGGAAAGTGGATCATGAAGAGCATTCACAGCCCTTAAAGCTTCCTTCTGCACGGGGAAACAACTTTAGCAGCACAGAAATAATCACCATTCAGGGTTTAACAGATTTAACTCACTGCTTTGAATTCCAATATGAATATTTTTGCGAGGCGCTGTAACCGATTTTTAATGAGATTTAATGATTAAAACCGAAACACAGAGTAACAACGCCTTCGTCCTTGGAGATGAAACACTGGTGAGTTAATTTATTCGCAGGAGAGTCCGCAGCGAACGCGGCGCCGTTTGTCTGAGCTCACTCACCGAGTCCAGAGGAAGCCTTTTCAGAACCTTGTACTGCTTCTTCGGCTCCAATTTGTAGACGAACTTGTCCGTGATGAGCAGCGCTCGGTCTGTGCTTTTGTTGAACCTGTTCATCTGCAGAGAACAGAAGAAACGTTTCTGAGCTTCTCGCCGTCGTTTAAAGATCTAAATTAATAAGCATTCACTGCAAAAATATCACATTTTACCAGGTATTTTAGTCTAGTTTCTGGTGAAAACACCAAGAAACTAGACTAAAACAATTTAGTATTTAATGTTCTAATTTAACGCTAATCACTAAAACAAAAATAAAAACCAACTGAAGCTTTAAATCCAGTTTTACTGCATCATAATTTTCAGTTTTAGCATATATTCATGTTTTGATCTTTAGCAGTTAGCGCTAAAGGAGAACATCCCACAGATTTGTGGAAGCGGTGATGAGACCTTTGACCCCAACGGGAGCCGTACCTTCCTGCAGAAAGCGGAGAAGACGACCTGGCCGTAGCCGTCTTTGTTCTTCAGCTCTTTGGAGACTCTGATGAAGGCGGCGCTGGTGTGAGGAGAGTCCCGCGCCTGCAGAGACCAAACGGCTGCGTTAGCATGTCGGCTGCAGCAGCAGCTGCAGCAGCAGCAGCTGCAGCAGGCCTGACCTTTTCCAGATCCTGAAGCCTTTTATGGCATTAATACCAGCAGACCAGAGCTGGTGTCACGAAGTCAGAGGAGCAGAAGAAACTTCAGATTTTAATTCAGAGTCAGAGGATTGTGGCTGTTTTGCATTTTAATGTGCATAAATGTCAGAAATCCAGACAGAGACAGAAAAGGAGACGATTCGGTTTAGTTCGGGTCATTCTGTCATTCCGATCAGAACCTAAAACCTCCAGGAAGGAAATGGGTTGTTCTGCATCTTATTAGTTTAGTCTTAATTTAATCTTATAATTGTCAAACTTTAAAAATAAACAATGCAAAAACTAAAGACAGACAGTTGGATGGATGGAAATCATAACGTAACTGTCCAAACTTTACCGTTTTCCATTCTGGTCCAAATTTATCCAAAAGGTTAGAAAACTTTCCATTCTAGATTCTGTAAAATGAACCGATTCATTCTGGATGCACCTTTATGTGTTTTAAATGGACGGCTTCATGTTTTCCACTGTTTCCATCAGCTGAATTTAGAGGTGAATCGATTTATCAGCACCGATTCTCTTAATTTCAGGAGATCATGTGAAGCCGATTTTATTCACCGGTTTTATCTTCCTCACCAAAGTCTAAAAATCGGCCTCCGTCCTCTTCCGCTCTGCAGTGGGAGGTTTGACCGGCCCACCAGCTCAGGTCTGCAGTCAGCAACAGTCGCCCCACTGTTACCAACTCAGAAACGTTCTTGATTTATTTAACAACATTTCAGACAAAAAACAGGATATTGGCTAAAATAGGAATCGTCAGGTCAGGCTTTTTAAAGATCGGTAATCTGCGGTCAGCCAGAAACGGCAATCTGTGCAGCGGGACTGCGGTTAGCTGGTAGATGATAAATCATCCGCTCTGATGTTTTGTTTTCATCCTCCTGAGAACATCCGTCTTCAGACACGTTCAGGTCATGATTCGGGATCAGAGTGGGTCACTGGGGAGCGGCGGCGTCACATGAAGCCCCGCAGGAGAGTCACGGGCCGGCCGAGCGGAGGAGCTCAGGCCCCGGTCACGCTGCAGCGGCCCGCGGCCCAATTCACAGCCGCCAACAAACAGCTAACCGGGAAACGGCGGGACCCATCAGAGGGAGCCGGGCCAGCCCGAGGCGCGTCACATGCGCCGCATACATCCACAACAACAGACCGTTTCTGTGATCCTTTACACTGCTGGTCATTCAGGGCTTGTTTACCGAGACGAGGGGAAGTTCTGCCTGCAGCAGGAAACAAGCTCAGCGGATTTTCCCTGTTTTTACTCTGAAAATGTTTCAGGTCAAACCCACATGGAGCACCATAAAATCTATGTAATTAATCAACCGAAGCTATGGCGTTAAACGTTCTCACGTTTGACAGGTAGTCTCTCTCCCAGGCTCGGCCGACGCCCCAGTCCTTCCTCTCCCCGCTCAGAGACGTCAGCGCCGCCACTTTGGCCCGAACCTCCAACATGTCAGACGGAGGGATGTTCTTCACGATCTGCCGCGCCCACCACCTGGAAACAACGACCAGCCAGGGTCCAAACCAGCGAGACAAAACTCTGAAACACACCAGCAGCTGTTCAACTAAATCGTTTTCCTTTTTAAACTGGCTTCAAAACTAAATATTTAGCTTCAAGCTGAGTGTTGAATAATAATAATGTGGCTTATTAAGTAAATATTTGTTTTGAATTTAGTTAGTTAACTAAATATTTAGCTTCAAATCAAAATATTCCAAATATTTTGCTTGATAACTATCTTTGACATAAATATTTAGTAAATGTTTAGCCTGCTAATTAAATATGTATCTTTCTGGCTAAATGTTTCGTTTGAAGCTGAATGTTTAGTTTTCTGGGTTCCTGACGTTCAGCCGCAGCAGACTGTCATATATTCACCAGCTGTGGATTTAAATGTGGTTTGGCTTTCAGCCGTTTCCGGTGTGCAGCCTCACCTGCGATGCAGCATGGTTGTGATGCTGTGAAACTGGGCCAGAGCTGCGGGCGGCGCCGGCCACTCCACGCTCTTCCCATAGTCCGGCATCGTCCGCACGCTCGCGAACCGGCGCTCCACCTCCCAGAAGTGGGCCTTGACCTTGTAGCGCTTGTAGCATCCCATGATGGTGTAGATGGCGCGCATCCGCCTGCAGCGCAGGCGAGCGAGAGCGCCTCGCCAAACCTGATGGGCGAGGGAATAAAAAAATTCACCGACGGAAACGTTTTCCTTCCTTTGGATCCAGACGGCTGAAAGTAGGTCAGGGAGGAGATGGAGGCGCCTGGTAACCGACTTTAACACAACTGATCTGGATCTTATTAATTTTCCCAATTATTGTTTCAGAAAATTAGGATTCAAAGTGGCAGAAGCAAATATTCATGAGACAGAGTGATTGCCTGTGATTGGAGTAAATTAGCTCTGAATCACATGATTAGGCCGTCAGATCAGAACATTGTGGAACAGGAAAGGTTTCAGCAGAAATCTGAAGCGTCATGAAGATGCAGGACCTTCTGCAGGAAGAGCACCAGGATGGGGACGAGGGTGGCTCTCTCCTGCTCCAGGGTGAAGAGCGTACGCGGCGTCCGAACGAACAGCTTCGTCTGGCCGTACGCCACGTCGCCCTGGAAACCGTGCTGCGTGATGATGGCCTCCACCGCCTCCCGGTCCGTGGCCATCAGGTGGTTCGGCCAGGTGTACTCGCATGTCATTTTATACCTGAGCATTAGCAAAACTCATCATTAATACAACGTATCCATTTATTAATCATTTATGAGCCGAAACAAAGATTAGCTCGTTATTTTGGGTGAAACTGGATCGATGTTCTGTGAACTGACTTCTGCTTTATTTAAAAAACAAAGAATCTGTTCATAAAAACATCAGATCTGCAAACATTTTGAATAACAAGCATCTGTCGTGTTTTTCCATCCAAGTGAAGGGTTAGTTTTAATGACTTCTTGTACTTTTCATGATAATTGTGTTGTAGTTTCCTTGTTTTGTATTTATATACAAAACAACACACCAACACCAAAAACTATATATATATAGTTATTGACTTATTTATCCAGCCCTAGTTGTGACCAACATAAAAAAAAACATTTAACATTTTCACAGTCTGATAGAACTGCAAATTAAAATATAGTAAAAAAGTAAAAAGCGTTG